TTAACACCAAAACCGGTTAAAATGGGGCTCACGGCTAAAAGGGAGAAACGGATTCTAACCACAACCAAAACTCTTACCACCCTTCCTAGCACACCACAGCACCTCCTAGGTTAAGGAGAACACACGCAAAGAGCCTCCACACTCACCTCACATACTTAGGGAAAATTTATCGTTTTTGGTCACTTTCTCACTCTAAAGGGAGCTATGGTCACGACTAAGAGAGAAAGGTTCAGGGGTTAAAAACTCTCATAACTGAAGCATAAGGGTCCTATTTATAGCCAAAATTCCGTGTGTGAACACAAGATTCATGGTGGAACACATGTTACCATTTTAAGCTCCAAATTCATGCATGCATGCAAATACATTGATCCGGCTTCAAAACGTCCCATCTTCTAGAATGTTTACTACCTTGCTGACCAAATTCAGTGTACAAAATCGCAGTACGAAATTCACTTCTTAGCTCAGGTTGCTACCACATCACATTTTAACTCCAAAATGGCTCCTTTGGTGAACACATACCAAATCTACTCCATAGCCTTGTTTCCCTAGCCTTCCTAGACCTCCATGTGATTCTTATGAACCAATAAATACTCGTTTTCGTGCCTGACATGTTTCCATACTCCCTTCCTCTTATTTTTAAAATTGGCAAAATGGGGGTTTTTGGGCTTCATGGGCCTTTAATCTCCAAACTTGAAATTCTTGGGGTTTAGCCCACTCCAGCACACTTCATGGGTTTCTTATGGAATTTAGATGAAAAGTTTTGAAGGAATTTGATGAATTCCTTTGCCCAAAACTTCCATGATCACTTAAGGCCCATTATGGGTCTAAAAAGTGTCTTCATGATTTCTCTCTCTCTAAATGTGTTTTGGCCATGATTCTTCTACCATTAGACTCCTTAATTTATCCTCTTTCTACTACAGGTTTGAAGGAAATTGGTCCCCTACACGTGGCATGCTCCTATTGGGCCACCCAGACGCCTATGTGGATCAATAAGGCATTCTCTCTCTCTTCGGACTTTTGTTGACTTTGACCTCTGAGTTGACATTTTCCAAAATTTCAAGAATTGCTCCAAATACTCCATTGAATTCTTAAACCATGATGGCACAACTCGATTTGGCTTCTTTGGCTCTTAGCTTGCTCATTTTGACCATATCGGCTAATCCGGCCTTCCTCCGGACCACCTTGGTACCAACCTTGTTTTGTCTTGACCAAAATCCTCAAAATGTCTTTGGATAGCTTTCATAATACTCCTAGGCTGATACTTGATCGATTCCCATGATTTCGGAATGAAAATACACTTTTCCGATCTTCACCCGCGGCTAGATTCTCGCCTAGACCATCTCTGAACCTCTATCAACCATCTTCCATTTTGGCTCGGTCCAACTCCATTCTAACTCGACCAAATGTCTTAGAATATCATATAATGATGTTTAGGATCAATCCTTACTTGATTTGAAGACTTTTAAAATTCACCGTGCTCGGCCACGCCCATATCGAAGCTCTGGTTCTGCCTACTTGACTAACTCTGGATTTTACTCGACCAACCTCCAATTTGCTTCGACTGAACCTCTATTCCTCACTTCTAGTACCATCCCACAGCAAGTCTTGGTCGATCCTGGGTCGTTGACTTGGGACTTCTGATTAGGGATATTACAGTAATAAACAAAAAAACAATAAATTATTCCAATTATGGAATAAACTCTATTATAGAGAAAAAAATGAAATTGGATTGAAGTGTCTTTTACTCTATAATTCCATTTATTCTATTTTGTAATTAAAAAGTGAAATTGGATTTGAGCTATTTTTGGTCTCACTCAACTCACATATCAACATCTTAAAATGTAACAGTAGTTTTAATGTAAAATTAGGCACTAGAAATATTACTTAAACTAAGAAATAACAAAAGAATGTATTAAATTAAAGGAGAAGAGCACAGTTAATTCTCAAAGAAAAAAGAAGAGCACAGTTAGTTATATATCCTCTACTCTTAGTAGGCTTAATAAACAGAACTCATCTCTATAATATTATTTGAGAAGTCAGTATCCTATGTGTTGATCTCATGTTCACTATCACGATTGTTGATTACACTGATACCCTTAATAGATTAAAAATAGTTAAAAATAGTATTATTAATTCTTTTGTTTACTTTCCTTTTCAAAAATTTCTAAAAATATATGTAATAAAAATAATTTTTTTATAAAGTCATAAAAACAAACTGAAAACAAAAAAAATATATCTATATATAATATGATTTCATAAAAAAGGAAAGTTCACAAAATAGTAATAATAAATTTAAAAATATTTTTACATAACATAAATATACTTTTAGAGTAATAAAAATAGTTTATAATTAGTATTATTGAAATTTTTTATTTATTTTTCATATATTTAGTTGACTATGATATCTTTCAATTACATAAAATCATCTATAAATTATATTTTACTTATATAATATTATTTTCAAATACAATCACAATTTTGTGTATTGTTTGTTGTAAGAGATATTAAAAACTAAAATTAAATTTAACAATAAACATCGCTTGATCAAATAATTAACAATTAGTTTAATGAGGTAGATATATGATATTTTATCATTATTAAAATTATTTGTTTTCTTAATATTAGTTTTTCTTTTAAATTTTATGGTTTTATGTTTGTGAAACTAAATATAACTATAATCAAAATACCAAAGAAAATCAGAATTCTCAATTTTAAGATTATTTAAAATAAATTTCAGTTTACATTCAATAAATCTAAAGCATAAAGTTATTCAGAATTTATATATATTTTAATTATTGTAAATATTGATATGTGTTCATGAGCTTCCAAAAAATGTATCAACTACTTATGCATGTAACCTTCTATTGATCATAGGATAACTCAAAACATATTAACAAACGAAAATAAATATTAACCAACTCTTACAATTTTAATTTTCTTGTAAAATTTATATAGGCATGAGACTTTAGAATATTATCGTTATATTAATTTACGTATTTTGGAATCAAATACTTTAGTTAATTTTTAATTCATTCTAAATATATTATATCTTAAATTGTACATAATTTTGCTAAAATATATTTATATATCTAAAACAACACCCACTATATGCAAATAAGTAATTAATTAAAAATTAATATATTTTTAAAATATTACACTTGATTCAGAGATGCAATCCAATTTATCTAAATGATAACTAAATCAACCGTAAACACAACAAAATTGACTAGATATAACATATATAAAATTATAGTATAGTTAAAGTAATATAATATTATTAATATAAATAATGCATACAAATTATAAATTAACTTAAAATTACAACTAAATAGTAATCGACTATTATTATATATTTACTTTAAAAATATCTATATCGATGAATTAGCACGGAAAGTCACCTAATTGTTAGTAATAGTGGAACATATACTCGATCTACTAGAAAACAGACATGACATAAGTAATGTCATCTCCACTTCTCATAAATGAAAACATAAATACTAGTCAACTAGGTGGTTTTCTACACCATGTGCAGAAATAAAAATTTTAAAAATAAATTTCTATTTAAAAATAAAATTTAATTAATTTTTAAATTTATTATATTATTACATTATTAATTTTACATTAATTATATGTAAAAATTAAGAGAAAATAAACAGTTTTATTTAAATATAGAACACTTCTCTCAAATAGAATTTTTTTAGTTTTTTTCACAAAAATAGATATTAAAACTAAAATGACCAAAACAACATTTTTTATTTTGAAAATTTCAATTTTTAAAAAAAAAAAATTGTAATCCTATCCCCCAAACCCCACTCCTCAACTTTAAACTAAAAGGTTTACGATTAGTTAACCCAAAGGATATAAGTGTATATTTACTTATTTTTGATAAAACATTTAAGTCTATCTTGGTCTTTTTTTATTTTAGGTCTATATTTGTGATTAAAACTTTTTTTTAGGTATATCTTAAAAAGAAAAATTCTTAAATTTATATTTAATAATATATATGTATCTTTTATCTTTTGTTTAAATTATATTAAATCAGATTCTATATTATTAAGAGAAAATTTTGTTAGATATATAATTATCAGAATATAAACTAAATAATATTTCTAAAATTTATAGATATTATAAATAAAGCTAATGGTATTGGGATTACAAAATTTTAATTTAAAAAAAAATGCATTAAATTTTGAAAAAAAGAATTTATTAGTAAATAATATATAATTATAAAAATACACTTAAAAATATTTCAATATTTGTAATATTATTATATTTATATTTCTACTATTATATTATTTATTATCTTAATAATTATTTATGAGTTCTTTTTCTTATCATTATTTTAATACAAATTTTTCTTTAATCAAACATAAAAAGTAATATAAAAATATTTTTGTTTATTTTAAATTATATTTAAGAATATGCATGTATATATTTAAAATTATAATCTTAGATAATTTTTTATCTATTTATTTTAACTAAATATATTAAATAAATTTGTAGAAAATTTTATAATTATCAAAAGTTAAAATTAGACAATATTTATTAAATTTTTAAATATATAAGAAATTAATAATTTACGATTAAAATTTTAATAATTTTCAAAAAATGTATACATTTTTGAAATTTTTGTAATAAAATTGTATATTTTTAAAATATATAATTAAATGATATTTTCGAAATTTTTAATGTCATATTGGTATATATTTATTTTAATGATGATTTATTAGTTATTACCATATTTTAAAAATATTTCCAAAAATATAAATCGACATTAAATGTAATATATATGAATTGTTACCACATTCTATAAAGTTTTCCAAAAATATATATCAACATTAAATGCAATTGTCCATATCATATTTAATCATATTCCATGTCATCAATTCTAGTAGAAATGTCATCATTTTTTTGTGAAACTGATTGTAGAGAAGACATGTGGCAAAATCACTTCACAAATAATGTACAAGGGATAGTTGCCCAAAAAAAAAAATATATACTCGTCAATATTATTCACTATTGGCTTTAAACCCAAAATAATATTTATGGATTTTGTAAGGCTACATTTCCTAAATTAACCCAGTTTCAGAAAACAACAACTAATTCTTTTCAAAGTGACAAAAAGTTATAGAAGGGAAACAAAAAAAAACAGTATAGTGTTACAAATTAGGAGATTAAGAAACTAAAAACCTACAAAACATCTGGCTTCCATATTTACTTAAGAGTCTTTGTCTTTATACAACCAACGTATTCATCAAACGCCACACTAGCTACTACAAAGCTTCATCGTCCAATCACTGCGTTTGATATAAACAACAACTCATGTCTTAAAATCATGGATGAAGAATTCGCAGTTCCAAGATTACAGAAACAGTGTTCGTTACCTCTAATTTGACCGCTCTGAGCAGCTTGCCCGACCCGAGACCGAGACAGCGATCTGAGATCTGAGACGCTGGAGTTAGAGGCAGAGGCGGTGGAGACACTACTCTGTTTTGGTTCGAATCAGACAAGGGTTGTTGACCCATGCCTCTCTGGTTTCTTGAAGGTATAGAGTAGCTTCTTGGTACAACCAAAGGTGGAACCGGAAGTGGTGATGCTACAATGTTCTTGGACACAACTACACTGCTTCTTTCTTGACTCCAAGCGCTAACAGGAGCTGAGTGACCAGTCAGACCAGGGGATTTAGAGCGTCGTGGAGGGGCAAATTGACCCGGTGGTCTTGGAAGCTCATGGAGTTCGTTGATTCGTGGTGAGGAAGCGAGAGGAGGTGAAGCAGTAGGAGACATCCTTGGAAGACGGGAATAGAGGTTGCTTTCCACATCTTTATGAACGGCTTTTATAGGTTCAAGCGGAGACGAATGCCATAAGTGTGGACTGTGGTTTGCTTGCGTGGAGATTGATGAGGACTTTGAACCGACCGGAGTTGGTAATACGTAAGCATTTGCAGACGGCTTTTCCGCTAAATCAGACTTCTTTTGTGGGAACAACGGTGCTGAATGGCTGCTCCTTCTGCGATCTTGGTATGATATCCGATTCTCTTCTCTATGATCTGCATTTACCTGCATCAACCAACATGGCTTCAACACAGGATTCCTAATACTATTGAAATTTCTAAAAGTAATGAAATCTAAGAAAGGACATACTGTGGAAGGGCGTCGAAACGAGAGATCTGTGTCATCAATCTACAGGAATATAGCAATCATATGAGCGAATTTTATATGGATAAAGCTTTTCTCTGAAGATTCAGGTACGTTTTAAATTACCTTCAACGATCCTTGTGGTGTAGATAGAGCTTCTACTTTTTGCTCACTTGTTATGTAATCAAAACTGAGTTCTCCATCTCTGTTAAAATGTCGGTCATCCTCACTACATTCCGTTTCGTTCTCGTTTTCAGAGAGCTCACAGTCGATGTGTTGTCTCTCTGCAGCAACTCTCACTTGTTGCTCTACTGCCTCAAGCGATTTCAGACCAACCAAGAACAGATGCATCTATGAAAATTTTAAAGAAAGAAAGCATAAGAGACACTAACTCAGGCAGTGAACTATAAAGAAAAAAAAAAGACACTAATTGAGTAACTGAAGATTAGTTGGTTACAGAGATAGTAACCTAAAGTACCTGGGCAGTGTGGTGGCGGGCTGCTTGTGTGAGGAGACTCCGAGCTTGTCCTTCCTTGAGAGATTTCAAACGGAAAATGCACAAAGTGGCCTCGTCTTGTAGCTCATCACGAGCAGTCTCCAACTGTCGGCGCATAAGTTTCTCCCCTTTACTGCCTTTCACATGCTCCATCATCATGTTCTTAACGACGTCTCTGTAAATCAGACTCAAAACGTTAAGGCATGAAATAACTGAGAAAAGAAAATATTTCATTGCAGAAAATAACTGACCTCTTTTCTTCACATTGTTGCTTCATATCCTGAGAGGGAAAGAAAATGAAAAAATTTAGCATACTAGCGAACTTTATCAAGGTTTTGTTTCGTCAACTGGGGCTTTAACTCTTGCTCAAACCGTAAACTTTCTGGCTTTTTTATATATAAAGTTAATTAGACTAAAGCTAAAGCATACCTCCACGGTTCTAAGGTCACTAAGAAGTGATTCTGACGGTCGTGTAATAGTCTTGAATATTTGAGAACGCTGATAAAAAAAATGGCAAAAGAAGAACTTGTTTCAGTTTAATCACAATTATACATATTGCTTCAGGAAAAGTACAGTGTTCCAACATACAACTTACATAAGTGTCAACGAGTTTTTGAAGCTCAAACTGAACTTGACCCAACTTGAGTAAAATTCTACCTGCAGAAGGAGAACCAATGTTAGGACATGAACAAAACAAAGCTTCCATCCATGACAGATGAATTCTCAAAAAACAGACTTACCACTTTCTTCATCATTATGCGGAGAGATTTGCTCCAAGCATGAACCCATCTCCCCTAATGATTCAGAGAACTCTGAAAAATAAAAGTGACTAATAATATATTAATGCTCAACTATGAACCAGAGTGGGTGTATAAAAAGACTAAGGAAACAGGAAATATTTGAATTGTAAATTTTACCGTAAGCGCTATTGGCGGTGGCAGCAGCAACAGAGAGTAATCTATCATAATATTCTCTCATTTCTTGCATATCCTGGAAACCGTAACGAGTAAAATAACTTAGAGGCTATTATCATACACCATATAACCCAATTATAAACCTAATTATCACTAAAAACCAAATTCAATGAATCATCCAGTCTAATTCCGGAAACAAAACAACCAAGTAACTAACTAACACCAGTTACCATTTTAGTTTATTTCCATAACTAACATGCTATGTCAATTTCAAAAAAAAATTTATATTTTTTTGCAAGAGCTCATGAGACTAGATAGATCAAATCAGAAGTTAAAGACCAAAGCTAAAAAGATGAATTTGAAACAAAATCGAGAGTTTGTTTCTATGGAGTTTGACATAGTTCTAGGTCTAGAAAATGGTAATCACTTTTTGATCACAGAAACTCTCGATCCATCATTCAAAAGCAACAACCCAGCGAAGAAAAAAAAGTTTGTACCTTGGAGGCTCGAGCAAGCCCATCAATCTGTTCAGTAGGAAAAATCTCTTCGATATTAACCGCATCATCGACCTTGGGCAATGCGAATCTCCTTAACCTCCCTAACGATGCTTTCATCATATCTCCCGATAACCCTAATCACGATAATCAGAACAAAATCTGATACTTCCGAACAAATAAAGAGAAGAAGAAGTGAGATTCTTTTAAGTATTGTGGAATGTGTTCAATGAAAGAAAGAAGAAAAGCTCTGTAAAAGTTTCTTTTCTAAAGTTGGTCAAAGAAAGAAACAGATCGAACCGCCGGAAAGACGGAGACGAGACCAAGGATTGGGGAACTAATCTCACGCGTGTAAGTAAAAGATCAAACGGTTCAGATCGGACCTTTTTACACGTGGCTATATCTCAACGTCTATAAAAGGTCAAAAGTCAAAAGATTTATGACAATGCGGACACGTCACCATTTTAGGAATTGACCGGAATTTTGAAGATGGTCAAACATATCTGCCCTTTTTCGTCAAGGGGTTTAGATTTGAACATTTGAATTCTGACGTTGATTTCAATTGGATCATATACTATACATTATATGACTCGCTAATCACCACGAGACACAAGACTTTGCTAATCATCATGAGAACAGTGATCGATATCATCTGGCCACCTATACTATTTAAATGAAACAACTGTACCCATACTGAAATTATCTTCGCAGCTCTCCTTTTTCTCCATTCCTTCTTTTGCATTGACGCATTTAACGTTTCTAATCTTCACTGAAATTTTTTATTAGAGATTTCAGTTACTTCTCTCTTGCCATCTCTCCCACAGTCCCACTACACTGTTATTAATTAATTCTTCCCATAATCCCTAATTTTTCAAACTATAAATAAAAGATGAAAATAGGTGTGATCATACTAGCACTAACGAATCAGATTCCATCAAAACTTTGTATTTAAGAATGTTTAGTCGAGAATAATACTAGGATGAGTGATTTTTTAAAAGATTCTCGTCCTGCATCATTCTTGACCAAAAAAAAAAAAATTAAAGGATGAAAACTTTTCTAAATCTCATTGTTTCGTTGTGTTCTTTGTACTTGAGCATGATACGACAATGGATTCTCCAATCCAGCTTTTCAATTTGAAGTCTGGTCATGCTTTTCAGATGGTATTGACATGTCTCCTTCCTTTTTGGTTCATCTTAAATTTCCAATTATTAATGGTAACACTACATTTAAGTTATTTTTGTAAAATTATAGTTTTTTTTTTTTTTTTTTTTTTTGGCAACGAAAGGCTGATCTATTACTCAAGCTTGAGGTGGTCTGGGAATCCAGACCGGAATAGAACAACCAACATACATCATAGTGCGGNTTTTTTTTTTTTTTTTTTTTTTTGGCAACGAAAGGCTGATCTATTACTCAAGCTTGAGGTGGTCTGGGAATCCAGACCGGAATAGAACAACCAACATACATCATAGTGCGGTAAAAGGAACGAGCTGTCTTAGCTAAAGAATCAGCCACAGTGTTTTGAGACCGAGGAACATAAAAAATCTTAAACTCCGGGAAGCAAACACGCAGCGTCAATACTCTCTCCAATTCCGTCGAGAAGCTAGGCCAATCCTGTGGATTCTTGAGCATCGTTATCAAGTCTTTGCAATCCGTCCCAAAGCTCTGACATGGCGAATGTTGAAGCATGTTCTCCATTGCCCACCGTAGTGCTTCCAGCTCAGAGTGCAAAGCCGACTCTACCCGACTCACATTACGCATACCCATCAACTGACAATTCCCCATGCTATCCCTCCAGTTCCAGCCACATCCTGAAAATTGATCCGTAGAGTTCCATGAACCATCTATCAAGCAGAGATCTCCTAGGCTTATGACCTGATCCTCTGGCACTGTGATTTCTTGCGTTATCACCATTTCCTGCTCGTTAGCTTGGAACCAAGCGTGGCACTCACTTTCCGCATACCTTGCTAGTTCCAGAGGATCCCTGTCAATTCCTCGGAACAGTTTATCGTTCCGGGCCTTCCAGATATACCATATCAACCAAGGATAAGGATCCCTACCCAGCTCTGGTTCCGCGAAGGCCTTCTTCCTCCAGAATAGATAATCCATGTTCGCGTATATGCTCTGTAAAGGAAAAAGGGTTGAACTGGTAGGAATGGATGATAATGCCCAGGCTTGTAAGGCAGGTGGGCATTGAAAGATTGCATGTGCAATTGTCTCATTCGGTTCTCCACATCGTGGGCAAATGTTGTCACATCGCATGTGCCTGTGATTTAAAACATCGGTAACCGCCACATGGCCTGTGATGATCTGCCACATAAGATGACACATCTTCTGAGGAGCCTTGGCTTCCCAGACCTGCGCTTGGAGCTTTGTAATGCTAGGTTCACACACAATGTCGTCTTCCTTCTTCAGCAGTATGTTCCGCGCTACCCAATAGCCGGACTTGACTGTATATTGACCACTCCTTGTATAATTCCAGCAAAACGTATCTCTACGATGTGTTGAGCTAACAGCCATACTCCTTATGAGAGGTATATCAGATGCATCAACATAATTTGCCAACCTCTCCAGATCCCATGCCTTCGTTTCCTGATTAATGAGGTCGCTCACTCTCATGTTCGGATGCAACACTGGAGCAGATGGGAACGCTGGTCGCGCTGGAACTGTTGGAACCCATGGGTCCTCCCATACTTTCACTTCATAACCTGAGTGTATTTTCTGTCGAACCCCTAGTAATAACAACTCTCGTGCCGACGAGATGCTTGTCCATACGTACGATGGGCTGCTAACATTGAGATTTCGCAAAGGCGAGCTCAAACGATAATATCTACCTCTCATAATACGAGCCACCAGGGAATCTGGGTTTTGAGCCAATCTCCACAACTGCTTAGCCAGCAAAGCCAGGTTAAACTCATGTATCATCCTAAAGCCAATCCCCCCTTCCTCTTTGGATAGGCATAGTTTGTCCCATGTCGACCAATGTATGCCTTTTCTCGGTGGGTTTGAACTCCACCAGAATCGTGCAATGGCACTAGCCAAAGCGTCACATATCTCCAGAGGGAGTAAAAAGCAGGACATTACATAGGTCGGGAGAGCGAGCAGGATTGACTTTATCATTACTTCCTTTCCGCCTTTAGAGAGCCACCTACCCGTCCACCCATTCACCCTATTCCTGAGCTTGTCCTTTAGGAAGGCAAAAAGCTTGCATTTCGAACCGCTAATATCTTCTGGGATCCCTAAGTAGGTACCCATTCCTGCCTCATTTTGTATCCCAAGAGTATCTTTAATTTCCTGCCTGACCTCATGTCCGATTCTCTTACCAAAGAGTAGAGAGGACTTATCAAAGTTAATACATTGTCCAGACGCCTGACCATATCTCCTGACCACTTTCATTACTTCTTCACACTCACGGGGCTCCGCCTTGCAAAAGAAAAGGCTATCATCAGCAAAGAGTAGGTGAGATACCGAAGGGCACGCACGCGTAATGCGCATCCCAGTTATCTTTCCCTGACTCTCAGCGTGATTAAGAAGGCTAACGAGCGCTTCCGTGCATAGAATAAAAATGAAAGGGGACAGAGGATCCCCCTGCCGAAGACCTCTCTCTGGAACAATGTTCCCTCTTGGCTGTCCATTCATAAGAACCTTGTACTTAACCGATGTTACACATCGCATGATCCAGCTTATCCAGATTTCTGAAAAATCCCATCTTCCTCATGGTGGCCTCAATGAATGACCATTCCATCCGATCATACGCCTTGCTCATATCTGTCTTAATGGCCATCCTCTTACTACGTCCACTCGGTTTCGTCCTTAAGGCATGGAACATCTTGATGTAGCGGATAGATAGATTGAACGGTCGATCTAAGAATTTAGGGTTCTTCGAGACCTGTTCTTGGATCAATCAAGAGTTACTTTCGTTAGCTTCTTGAGACCAACTTCCTGAAGAAGATGAATTTAATCGAATCTTGTTCAAGGCAACTTAAAATAGATGAATTGAATCAAATCTATATCAAGGTATAAAGCAAAG